ACACATTTTATATGGATTGTACAGGCAATCAATTATTGTGCAAATACTAGATAAAGATAAAAACTAAATTATCGGGTGCGGGATTTGCTCGCTGCATTGAAGACCAATTGGTGGCCTTCTGCTGTTATCTGCACTTAGTGTTATTATCTCTTTGACACATTCCCAATTTCAATTCTCAATTTTGTTTTTGGCATGTTCGTAGAAATATTGATTTATATGCCTGCCATTCGAAATATTTTCGTACATTCCTTAGGAATATGTTTGACTTTTTTGGTTTTGTTTTTTTGTTTTTAAAAATTTTGAGTGTTTGTTTTAGTTCCAAATTTAAATTTTCCTTTTTATTGAACACCTAAAATAATTGATTACTTAAACTTTTGTATGATTTTGCTTTTATATCTATTTTAACAAAATGAACATATCTTCTTAAAAATAATTATTTACACATTACTTCTGAATACAATTCGATAAAAGATGCACAAGTGTTTTTATTTTTTGGATAGTTTTACAAATGTGAAATATCCCATTAGACCTATTGATTTTTTTCAGCTTTTCTTTAGTATATACAATATAATTGACACTTTAAAACGTTAATGTTTTTTTATCTAGTTGCAATGTTTTTTTTTTTATAAAATTTTGATATATAACTCCACATCATCCTTATTGATATTGAATATCCAATACAAGTTCACATAATGGTCACAAATCCTTACTTTATGTTGTCTGTTTATCTTTTAATAAAACAGGTGTTTCGTTTTTTGAAGATAATACATGGCTGAGATAATAATTCTTGATTTTTTTACTATTACTTTGTTTTAAAATAAAAATAATGTCTGTGATATGGAAGATTTCCATCTACATTAGCATTATCTATAAAAAAAAATAAAGGTTTTCCTTTCACACGTCCTCGATTATTATATTCCAATTTTTGTAAAGCTTGGAAAATATAATGTCTTTTGTAATAGTTTTTGTTTGAGTCATTTATTCCCTGTCTCGTATGTGTATAACTACATCTCTTTTTATTCATAAATTTATAACAAAAACATGTAGGACAAACAAATGTATTTCAAATCATGTGTCACTTTTTATTAATAGCTTTCTCAATAATCTTGAATCACGGAAATCATCTTTAACTTTGTACATCATAAAAAAGATAGGATTCAAACGTTTGCTCAACGTTTTATTTAATGTATATCAAGCATAATGACTATAACGCAATATAACCCCGATGAAACGTATACAATGTGTGATACTAACAGTATGGATCAGCATATCTATCTAGATTTTGACAGTAAACCCGACATTAAGAAAAGTAACCGTCCATTTCTGAAACGTTCTGCGATTAAAATTATACTGAGCATTTTGACCATTTTTACAACAGCTGTTTTGTCATCAGGACTTACGTTTGCTGTTCTGTATTTTAATGGTAACTATAATTCGGAGGGAAACCATCGTTCTTCTGTGGTTAACAGAAGCGAGTCGTACGGAAACTGTGAACTGGACATTCTTGGAAATCAAAATTGTACACAGTCTTATGATAAAACGGTTTCAAACTTGAATTTCCGTGTAAAATCTGTAGGGACACGTTGTCCTATTGATTGGTATAAGAATGGCGATGCTTGTTATCTGATACTTCACGAAAAGAGAACATGGTTTCAGGCAAGAGATTTCTACCGAAGCCATGGATCTGATCTGGTTAGTTTACATAGTAAAACTGAAGTTGATACGCTTCCGAATAACCAATTAAAAGACGAACCGTATTGGATAGGATTAAACGAAATTGATCATAAAGGTACATTTAAATGGAGCGATGGGACGCCGCTTGATTATGCAAATTGGAACATATACGAACCAAACCATTGGAACAACTTTGAACATTGTGTTGAAATGGAGCACAGAAATTGGAATGATGGCAAATGCTATATTTCACAAAGTTTTATCTGTAAATTGAGTCTTACTGACAAATGTGGGAACGACAATTGGTATCTACACAATGGATCGTGTTACCTATTTAATCCGTCTGATGACACGAGGATGTCATGGACTGCTGCTCGTCAATTATGTCTACAAAAGGGTGCAGATTTAATCAGCATTGGTTCGGATAATGAATTATCATTTGTTCTGAGTCAAGCTTTTCAATTATCTACGTCAGTCAAATGGATAGGTCTAAATGATTTCGCGTTGATCGGCAAATATAAATGGCTTGATGGAACTGTTTCGAAAAATCTAACATGGGCTCATAGAGAACCAAGCAATGATCAACATTATTGTGTCTACTTTGGAAGACTTGGTAATATTTATGATGCTGACTGTGCAACAATGAATGGGTACATTTGTGAGAAAGTTTTGTGAATTTCATTTTATGAATTTATAAGAGATTCGTTGGCTTAGAAAATACAAAATTGAACAAACACCCATAAACGGCTTATAATTTGGTATGCAAGATGCATGATTCATCAAAAATGCATAACTATTTTGAATCTGGTAAATTCTATGATTTTTATTTATTTATTTATTTTGCGTTTAAGGTTAATAATCAATCAGCATTATTCATATGTATGGACTATATTTCCATACGGTATAATACTGGATGTTTACATCTCTTTAAAGAAAAAAGAGTTTCGTCTTCAAAACTCAATCTTCATTGTTAAAGGGAATGATTTTTTTCGCTTTAAGATGCAGTCTTGTAATAAACAGCTCCACGATGCCTCGAAGAATAAACACATTTTCAACCTCGAAGTCAAAACTTCATTTTTCCTCTTTTTGTTTGCTGTTTTCATCTGACCGCAATTCTTTAGTAAACATGATATTCATCGACTTTTCTGGTTTGATTTTTGAAAAAGGTGCATTTTTTTTTTTTTCATTTAAATAGATTTTTTAATTCATCATATACTTTTAATCAATAAATTTACATGCCGTGCAGAAAGAATTCAGAAAACATGGAACTATTTTATTTCACTCCATGCCATGAAACTGAAATTGTAATACAAGACTGGTACATGTAACTAAAATCAATTCGACATTTCTCGAAAAATTACGAAAGAAATATTTTAGAAAGAAGATCAATATTCTGACTTGTAGGCAAAATTATTTATGTCTTACTGAATAAATGCGGCTTGAATTACATTGTTTAGACATGTACCCTTTTGGGGATTTTCAGAAAACAATTTTACTTGCATTTTGGCTTAACTTTGCTTTTACAAAATTTAAGCTTGTAAATTATTTTTAAGTGTTTGCTCTATGTGTAATATTATTGTTCATAATACATTGATGTTTTGCAATTATTATAGAAAAACTGTAAATTTATATATAATGTATTTTTTATGTTATTTTAATTACTGTATTGTAAAATAAAATCTTTTTTTCAAATAAGAGTGATATTGTTTTTTTATTGTATGTTTAAATTCTTGATAACTAGGTGTCAGTGTAGCAGAATGTGTGTAGATTGTTTTTGACATCTAGATGTTTATAATAATTATGGTTCTTCACACATTGAATTTGTTCTTTACTGTCATGTGGGTGAATTCTATTGAATTTATCATCGATAAGGTTCTAAGAGGCTGCCATAACTGACATTTGAATGCCGTCAGTCGTATATTTACGGAGTTTTGGCTCTTTTAAATGATGATTGATGGTGTTGGAAAAGTATAAATTAAGAGGTATTTTCAAAATTAGCTACAGATTTTTAAAATGCCTCACAGAAGTAAGTTCAAAAGTGTTCAGTATAAAAAAGGAAAACAACACGTGATTAGTTTAATGCGTCAAAAGCGCTTTTCTGGATTTACTTTCATCAGGAATGCTCAAAGCCGAATATTTGAAAGCCAACCCAGCGGGCACATCAACGTTGCTTCAACGTTGAAACAACGTAATGCTGAAACGTTGAATCAACGTTGAATTATAGGTTGAAAATGAAAGGTCATTTCAACGTTGAAAATACAACGTTGCATCAACGTTTAGATATCAACTTTGATTCACCGTTGAAAATTCATAGTTGATACAACGCTGAGAATGTTGATAATTAGTTTCTCTAATGTTAGTGCTATTTTCACATTTCTTGATCAGTGTGAGAAAAATATTTAGTGAAATATCTGTTCGCTGCAAATGATTGGTTGAAATTTAATTATTACCTCAAAATTTCTTGGTTTCTTCTGAATTTTCCCAGTGTGACGACATGAAAAAAGGCGACCATGCCTGATGACCTCAAAAGGAATAACAAAAATATGTCCATAGTACACGGATGCCCCACTCGCAATATCATTTTCTATGTTCAGTGGACCATGAAATTGGGGTATAAACTCTAATTTGGCAATAAAATTAGAAAGATCATATCATAGGGAATATGTGTACTAAGTTTCAAGTTGATTGGACTTCAACTTCATCAAAAACTACCTTGACCAAAAACTATAACCTGAAGCGGGACAGACAGACGAACAAAAGAACGAACGGACAGACGCGCAGACCAGAAAACATAATACTCCTCTACTATCGTAAGTGGGGCATAAAATTCATTTGAGAAGCAGATTAGGACACCTTAACTCAAGTAATTAATATTTCTCCATTCTCAACAGTTAAATTCTAATTATTTAAAAAGCTCGAAGCAATTTGGTAGACTAACAACTAGTACACTGTAACGCTTCTGGTGTAAGTTGGTCAGCTCTTTCATATGTAAATAAAATACATTTTTGTTGGATGCTCCACACACTTTTTAGAGAAAAAGAAGATTGAAAGACATTTATTAAAATATTTTATTAGGATGAAAGTCAAATGCATATTCAGGACAAACATGAGAGCAGACATGCCGAGCAGGATTTTTAATGTACTAGCCCACTAACAGTTCACACATGTCACCTTACCCAGACACATTATTCTGACTCAAGGCTAACCACTCACTAAAAAATGTTTGGCGGAAAAGCGGCAAATACCAATTTTAAAATCTTTGGTTTGACCTAGCCTGCCATACAATTATTTAGTCAATATGAGTCATTAAAAACAAGATGAAAAGATCATTTATTTATTTTGAGCATCTGGAATGGAATTTGAAATGTCCTCATCCTGCCTCTTTCTTTTTTCTTTCCTCCCTCCACCTCTGTGCCTTTCAGGGGCATATTTCAGGAACCTGGACATTTCACTCTTCATCATAGTTTCTGTTGCTTCAACCGACTCAGGAAAGGACTCTGAGACACAATCTGTTTGTAAAAAAAAACATAGTAACAATTAAAACACAGAAAGCCAAAAATTATTCATTTCACATAAAAAGTTCATACAGCTACTGAGGATAATTAAAAATTAATGTAGTCTTGGAGTTGTTTAGGATGAACAGAGTTTCAAATTTATTTTCCAGTGATCTTTGCAAGTTACTTGCTAATATAGAATTTAAAATAATGCAATTTACCAAGAATTATTGTGAACAACTTTGAGGCACCAAATGAAATTTTGCCATTTTTTCCGCTGATGTTCATTTTGGCCATCAAAGAATTATGGAGGACCCTGAAAAAAATATATGCATCTAAATAAAAAAAAATCACAATCAGATTTAAGATGTTTTGAATTTTACAGTTTACAATATGCATTGGGTTTATCAAATAATTTTTACCAGACATCTTGGATGTTTTTGCTGTTAAAATTTGTTCGTTAATTTCAATTTCTACATGTTCTTTTCTTGCATTTGTAGTGTTAACTCTTTTCTTGGCTTGTAGTAATTCCCTCATAATTTTTTGTAACTGTTTCAAAATCATATAGTTTCCTGAACTTATTTTTTTTAAAGAAAATATAAAAAGGGTATAATCAGGATGATACAAGTACAATTGTTGAAAATGTTGTATTTCCAAATCCATAGTTGTGATTAAATACGATACATTACTTTTAATATGATACTATTTACATATCCCTTTTAATTTTGGCAAAGTACATAAGAAGGAAAAATTTACAGGAAACACATGTGTGGAAAACAAATGACAAATTAAACGGAACAAATATTAGATATCAAATTATATCTCAAACCTACGGATAACTTCCAATATTTAGATAAACCATCAGCTCATCCCGCCTCTGTATTTAAGGGATTTATAATTGGCGAAGTTACACGGTTCATTCGATCGTGTTATAACAAAGATGACCTCGACACACATATCAAACTATTTAAACACAAGCTTATATTCAGGGGACACAAGGAAAATGAAATTAATCTACTAGTTAATAAAGCACTACGAAAAAGTAGGCAAAACACATTATGTTATAAAACAAAAAACAAACAGAATGGTCCACCACTAGTAATAGCAACGAAATTTAACTCTTAATTTAAGCAGTTGGGAAGACGAATAAGAAAACACTGGCATTTGATTGAAGATGACGAGACCGCTAAACATCTATTTCCCAGACCGCCTATCATTGCTTATCGTAAACACAAGAATGTGAAGGAGTACTTGACCTCAGCAAAATTACAAAGTAATTAGATAAAGAATGGACATTAAACTATAAGTGTATTACAAATGTAACTGCATTTGATACATTACACGATAGAAACATATTGATAACAATTAAAAAGTAATTATAATCAAATGTTATAGTAAATAAAAATAAATTAGGCCAGGGCACCTGACGAGGATGAACCGCCAAGGTCGAATTTGACCTAAATGATATCCGAAACACCAGGTGTAATATCATCAAATTAAAGAAATTCATAGACGACCAGTTGATCACCACAGATCATATACGTTGGAAAAATCCTTTCAAATAAATAGATGTGTAAAAGTTTATAATTAACCACAGAACAATCTACCGAGAAAAGGTCAAATCAGGTTTTAACAGTTCAAGATAATATATATAATTTCAAGTAGATATATATAAGCGAAACATGCTATATATATGAATCACCAAATCATGCATAAACAGAGCAATAACAGAATAAACCTGTAATTGAAGACAAACATTTAAATGCATATAAAATTGCATATAAAGTATACACAGCGATATATGGAAAATCATTATAGAAACTCGATACAGACAAGAAATAAAATCTCCTATAGACAATAGAATTAGTAAGTTTTGCTGAGATTAGTACATGGACACGACTATTTTTAATAGAGGTACATCCAGGATGTCAGGGCCCCCCTTTCATGGGAAACATTTGGAGCAGCCTCCCCCCCTTTTTTTTATAAAAAAATACTGGATACGACACTGGAAGTGAATGTCAGGCCTTCAACTGTTTTATCTGCACCTGTCAATTATAAATAGCCTATAGGTATGTGCTCAGAATCAATTAGTAAAAATTTTTTTATGTGTAAACAACGTGTTCATGTGTCATGATGTGGGCACTGCATGGATTTATATTCATGTACGATCTGTTGATAGAAAAACAAGTGCGTATGTACTAAAAAATTTGTCACAATAAAATAACGTACAGATTGTTCACTTCTGTGTTCTTGTCTCATGCTACCTTCTGCCATCGCTGTTAGCGTTTTCGAATAGTTTTTTCTTTTTCAATTTCTCTCCAGCGGTAAACAAATGTTGTTTCTTTGAATAAGGCGCTAATCGACATGTGCGAACTTTCGGAAGCATTTCCGTGATATTCCGAGTAGCAAAGTTTTAAGAACGGGAAAAGTTTAAAATTATTATTTCAAATAAATATATATATATTTCTCCGTAAATTTGTTTTATCTTAAATTATTACAATGGTTTGGACATCGTTATAACCCTTTATATGGAAGAAATATATTTTATTTTGTAGAAATGACTATCAGAAACATGCAAGGTTCATTGGCGGATCAAAAAGGGGAAAGGGGGAGGGGGAGGGTACGGTTCTGGTGGTTTCAAACTTTGACCTTTTCTGGGAAAAAATTGGTTGATAATATAGGGAATCTCTGAAGCTTGACCGGAGCGGGCCCCCTCTTATGAAAATTTCTGGATCCGCCACTGATAAATACATTTATCGTCCAAAAAAGGAGGGATTCCAACCCCCCAATCCCCCCTCCCACTTGATCCCACTACCTGCTTCAATTTCCAAACTTAATTCATTAGTAAAACAGATTTGAATAGTTGATTAATGCATATCATATATTTCATATATATATGATTGGTTCAACGTTGAAAAAGTGACGTTAAATCAACATCAACTTTCTGTTAAAATTTCAACGTTGAAAAATAAGACGTTGAATCAACAATTCTGTTGAAATTTCAACGTTGAAAAAAAGACGTTGAATCAACATCAACTTTCTGTTGAAATTTCAACGTTGAAATTAAGACGTTGAATCAACATTGAATTGTGGTTGAATATTCGACGTTGAAAATAATTACGTTGAATAAACGTTGAATCAACGTTGATGACGAACTCAACCACAATTCAACGATTTTTCAACGTTGAAACAACGTCATGTGTCCGCTGGGAAGGATGTATTAGAGCCGACACATTTGAAGTTTGAGTTCAGCCTATATGAAAGTCTTTTTTATTAACTTTTCGGTAATGGTGTGGTAGGGTAGGTAGCTGAGGTCCACTTGAGAAAAAATCCAGAGTGATGTTCGGCTTAGTCTTTTTTTTATAATGTAATAAGCTGGCAAATTATGAAAGCTCATGTCTTAATTGATAGGCATAGAAATAAAAAGAAAACGTATGAAAACGAATAACATAATATTAAACCGGAAACAAAATAACGTTGGTTTAGGCAACTAGTATGATGGTCTGGATGCGTATTTCTTTATTTCTGTATTCTTTGATATTCTATTCCAATTTTTCTCTATTCTTTAATCAGTGTTTCATGCCATTTTTCTCTATTCTTTATCATGATTATTTCTTTATACTTTTTGCCAATTATTCTATTCTTTTTATATTTTAACACCGCATTATTCTATTTTTTTTTAATTTCTTGGTCTATTGTCTCTATTATTTATATTTTTTGCCCACTATTCTCTATTCCGTAAACACCCATCCACACCCAGGCTCTAGTTGTGGTCACCATATAGCTTTCAAAAATAAGTAAAAGTAATACCGAGTAGGCTCCGAATGGCAAAATGATTGAATGCTAATCCCGGTTTGAATTGTGAAATTGCAGAAATTTGTTTTTCAATCAACTGATCAAGCAAAACACATTATCGTCCTGAATGTTCGTATAATGGACCTAGGTTATGAATTCTATTCATCTGAGATCAACCTTTCTAAATTTAAAAGTAAAGATCACGCACCCTTATTGTTCAGATTGATAAAGTCTTTTGCATCCGTCGACATTATCTTCGATTAAAGATCTGATAACCACAGTGACTGTGCGTGTATACTTTAACGACCGGGGTAGTTTTCTTATAAGTTTTTAAAAGTAGTAACCTCCCTTGTTAATGTGATGTTGTAATCAATCTATTTATTTGTATCATCTTTATATAATATTATATTGTACAATTTAAATTTATGATTCGTTTAATATTTAAATATAATAATTTATTGTTTATTAAAGATATAAACAAGGTAATTTGAAAGGCTTTAATTCATTTATCAACGTAGTTCAATTCATAAGTCAGGCGGTCTATTTTGTCTACATTATGTTGAAAGAACACCGGGGTGTTTACATTGGCATTATTTACTATCAATGACTGTGAAACAAAAAAGGAAAACATTGTACATTATAAAACGAGAAATGATTAAAATTAAATACAAAATTCTTGTTTAGTGAAATCAAATACGAAAAACGGAAACACTTTTGATTTTCAAAACATTTTGGTTTTACAGAAATCAAAAACAAAAAATGAAAACACTTTCGTTTTCCGTTTTGGTTTTAGAGAAATCAAAAACGAAAAATGAAAACACTCTCGTTTTTTGTTTTTTGTTTTTGATATTTCAAAATGAAAAACGAATGGACGCCAATATACACGGACCTTTTTTTTCACCTTTTTTTAATTTTTAACTATGAGCGTACCTACGGCCCACTCAGATATTTGAACTGCATCAACGTTTATATTCAAGGAATGTCAGGTATAAATATGATCGTGGGCCGTAGGTACGCTCATAGTTTAAAATGCAGAAAAAGGTTTGGAAACTGCCATTTTTCTGCCCTTTTCGCGAATCTCTAGGTGTTTACAGCAACAAAGCATGGATAATGTCAGCGGAAGTTGACAAATCTATTGATGTTTACAAAAGTATAGGTTTTTAACTTTGAAAATATAGTATTTATATAATTTATGGCATGCCACTTTTAATTTGAATGAAAATCGGGGGCCGTTCTCTGATGCTTATCGTACCTTGTCCTTTAACAAAAACTATCACAGATCTGCCATTAGGACCAAATACTCCAAACGACACTTTGGAAAAACAAAGACTGGTCAACTTAGAGTCAGAATAATGCGTTCTGGTAGGGTAACATGACTCTACCCGGACTGTTACTTTGTAAAACAGGCATGTGAAAAATGAGGTTCAACATGTCAAGGTAGTACAAAATAAAAATGTGAAGATGTGGTATGATTGTCAACGAGACAACTCTCCACCAGAGATAAAATGACGTAGATGTAAGCAACTACAGGTCACCGTACAGCTTTCAACAATAAGCGAAAACCCAGTTGTTTACCAAAGACCGTAGGGTAAGTATGTAAACATAAGAAGGAAAAATTTACAGGGAACACATGTGTGGAAAACAAATGACAAATTAAACGGAACAAATATTAGATATCAAATTATATCTCAAACCTACGGATAACTTCCAATATTTAGATAAACCATCAGCTCATCCCGCCTCTGTATTTAAGGGATTTATAATTGGCGAAGTTACACGGTTCATTCGATCGTGTTATAACAAAGATGACCTCGACACACATATCAAACTATTTAAACACAAGCTTATATTCAGGGGACACAAGGAAAATGAAATTAATCTACTAGTTAATAAAGCACTACGAAAAAGTAGGCAAAACACATTATGTTATAAAACAAAAAACGAACAGAATGGTCCACCACTAGTAATAGCAACGAAATTTAACTCTTAATTTAAGCAGTTGGGAAGACGAATAAGAAAACACTGGCATTTGATTGAAGATGACGAGACCGCTAAACATCTATTTCCCAGACCGCCTATCATTGCTTATCGTAAACACAAGAATGTGAAGGAGTACTTGACCTCAGTAAAATTACAAAGTAATTAGATAAAGAATGGACATTAAACTATAAGTGTATTACAAATGTAACTGCATTTGATACATTACACGATAGAAACATATTGATAACAATTAAAAAGTAATTATAATCAAATGTTATAGTAAATAAAAATAAATTAGGCCAGGGCACCTGACGAGAATGAACCGCCAAGGTCGAATTTGACCTAAATGATATCCGAAACACCAGGTGTAATATCATCAAATTAAAGAAATTCATAGACGACCAGTTGATCACCACAGATCATATACGTTGGAAAAATCCTTTCAAATAAATAGATGTGTAAAAGTTTATAATTAACCACAGAACAATCTACCGAGAAAAGGTCAAATCAGGTTTTAACAGTTCAAGATAATATATATAATTTCAAGTAGATATATATAAGCGAAACATGCTATGTATATGAATCACCAAATCATGCATAAACAGAGCAATAACAGAATAAACCTGTAATTGAAGACAAACATTTAAATTTAAATTTAAAAGTTTTTTGTTTTTTGTTTTTGATATTTCAAAATGAAAAACGAATGGACGCCAATATACACGGACCTTTTTTTCACCTTTTTTTAATTTTTGACTATGAGCGTACCTACGGCCCACTCAGATATTTGAACTGCATCAACGTTTATATTCAAGGAATGTCAGGTATAAATATGATCGTGGGCCGTAGGTACGCTCATAGTTTAAAATGCAGAAAAAGGTTTGGAAACTGCCATTTTTCTGCCCTTTTCGCGAATCTCTAGGTGTTTACAGCAACAAAGCATGGATAATGTCAGCGGAAGTTGACAAATCTATTGATGTTTACAAAAGTATAGGTTTTTAACTTTGAAAATATAGTATTTATATAATTTATGGCATGCCACTTTTAATTTGAATGAAAATCGGGGGCCGTTCTCTGATGCTTATCGTACCTTGTCCTTTAACAAAAACTATCACAGATCTGCCATTAGGACCAAATACTCCAAACGACACTTTGGAAAAACAAAGACTGGTCAACTTAGAGTCAGAATAATGCGTTCTGGTAGGGTAACATGACTCTACCCGGACTGTTACTTTGTAAAACAGGCATGTGAAAAATGAGGTTCAACATGTCAAGGTAGTACAAAATAAAAATGTGAAGATGTGGTATGATTGTCAACGAGACAACTCTCCACCAGAGATAAAATGACGTAGATGTAAGCAACTACAGGTCACCGTACAGCTTTCAACAATAAGCGAAAACCCAGTTGTTTACCAAAGACCGTAGGGTAAGTATGTAAACAACTACAGTTCACCCTACCACCTTCAACGAAGATGATGATAAATAACATTATTTCTTATGCAGCAAAAATACTGCAATCTGATTGGTTAATTACCC